ATGCTTTCCTTCTGGATCACAACGAACGGCGCGGCGGCTTTGCTTTCGTAGCCCGCGGCATTTTCTACAAAAGAAAAACTGACGTTCGAACGTAACGCGTTCCTTCGATAAATAGCAATTCCTTGAACGGTCCCAAGATTCCGCGTCGATGCGAGAAAATTGGGAACGTTCACAAGACAATGGACAGATATATGCGACAGCTGAACACGGTCGAGAGTCATCGACCGTTATATGCGCGTGCGTCGCCATTCGAACGATCGTTTTAGCAAGCTGTAACAATTAATCGTGCTGTGATCATGCAGCTGTAACAATTAAACTGTTCCCATGATAGCTCCGAACTTACGAAGAATCGCGTGCAATTTTGCATGAAATACGGAAGAATCGAATTTTCAAACGTGTCAATCGAGCCTGAAGTTCCTCATTAAAAGTCTTCTCGATGATCGACAAGCGAAGTGGACATCGTAAAAGGTTATCTTATTTTTACAGGCTGAAAACCTGCGACGCCAGTGAACCATCCTTGCTCTCAATCGCTCAGAACGCACTCCCGCGAAAGGGAAACGGAAAATGATCGCGGAGAATTAAAAAAAAGAAACAAACAAAAAAAGTGGAATCCTCGAAGCAACGGAATGATCTCAACAAGCTCGCTAAGAGAAGCTACACGAAACACGATGCTCGGTGTGTGCCTCGGTTTTCCGTTCGGTTCGTATAGTTCGCGAAGAAGGCACTTGCGAGGTGTTCCCTCGTGGACGAGGCGAATCGAATTTGGTCCCAAACGTGGAATAGCTTCGCAGTCGCCGACGTAAATGCGAGAACAGGCACTCTTTGATTACCCAGAGCACGAGAAAGCGATCGGTTCTCCGAGCTGTAGCGCGAAACAGCTTCGATCCTCCCGGAGTCCTCTACCCGAAAAAGGAAGATCCGACGATTTTCTTCGAGAACAACGGACAAGACGAATCGAGACGAATCTGGACGACGGAGGATCTCGATTCTTCCTGATCATTCCGCCGCGGACGATCTCCCGTTTCTGGATCTCTTCTCAAGAGACGCAAACAGATCTCCGCGTTCTGCGTCTCGAAGCGACTCTGATCGCAGATATTCGATGGATCGTCGAGCAACGGGAAGCAAGAGGTCGGTCGACGTTGCTTCCGTCGTTGTCTCTTCCTTTTGGCAGAACCTTCACCCAGTGCACCCTGTTCACTGTCCGTCTCTGCACGGTTCGCGCCACTTTCGTCGTTCGCTCGAGTTTGCTTCTTTTGTTGTCGAGTGCCCCGACCACCGCAGGGGGGGAACGAAGACGATGAGGACACGCAACACTCGAAGGATGCTTCCTTCCTTCCTCTTCCTAGATCTGAGCCGGCTCCACGTAGTTCGCCGGCAGCATGCCATGGCGGCCCGTGCGCTGCACCAGACCGGTCATCCAGCCCTCGTCGATGGCCGTGCAGTTCACGATCAGATCGCCGTCGCAGAAGCTCACCTCGTCAAGGTCCTGGGCCTCGTAGTCGTACATCGCTCGGTACACTCTCTGCAAAACGGAGATCGTTAGCTCGTCGACCCTCTTCCAGCAAATCGCAATTTTGCGATAACTATTCGGTCGAGTCATAAGTAACTTCCCTTTTTGTATCAGACGTTTATTTCGTTTTTCTTCTACTTATTTTTCGTCTCTTTTCTTATTTTATTTATTTTGACTTATAGTGGGCAGATACGAGCAACAGATTCAACCTAGTTATTATTTATGACTCGACCTAACAGTCTGCGGATTTCATGCATTCGTTGCAAAAATTGACAAAAAGAAACAAAGAATAGTGAATATAATACTATACTATGCTATTACAGAAACGAATACGTTCTTATTTAACCCTTAGCGCTCGGTTGGCTCCGCTATGGAGACATCCGTCATTTGTTCCGTAAATCCGAAGGCTCTGCTGCGGAGTCCACTGTTTTTAGCATGATTACACCGAAGATGCTATGTTTTTGTCGACGTTGGCAATTGTTATTTGTAGCGAAAATGTGCTTTGCGTGTGTACCATTACGATTAAAACATTTTTTGCCCATTTTTATACTTAGCAACATAAAATGAATGAAATCAAACGCTTTCACAAGGACGTATAATCTTTTCCGCTCGAAATAAGACTTCCTTTATCTCGGGCGCTTTGCTCCAAAAATGTGCCGGAGTTGCTGGTCGCGATATTTTTCAGAAGAACGCTGTTCAACTTTATTTTACAACGTCCGAAGAATATTTACTAATTTTTAATTTAATTTAATTATTAATCGAACCGATTCCAGTGAAGATTAACAATAAAGAAATTCCGGCAAACTCACGCAAAAGATATTTTTGTTTCAATAATTCCGTATCCAAACAGAATTCAACGGACGATTCGGGATGCTAATTTTACAATAAATCGCCTCAAACAACATGAGGGATATATTTATTTAAGTATTGTGAAGAATATCATTAATAGTAAATTTACCCATTTTTTGATGAGAATGCATTTGCTGCTTGGAAATTTCGGTCACAATTCACGATGTCGATGCACCGACTTCGCATAATGTTAAGTAGATACCGTTACGATTAAAATATTCTCTGCCGATTTTTATACTTAGCAACATAAGATGAATAAAATCATACGCTTTCGCAAGGACGCGTAATCTTTTCCGTTCAAAATAAGACTTCCTTTATCTCGGGCGCTTTGCTCCAAAAATGTGCCGGAGTTGCTGGTAGCGATATTTTTCAGAAGAGCGCTGTTCAACTTTATTTTACAACGTCCGAAGAATATTTACTAATTTTTAATTTAATTTAATTATTAATCGAACCGATTCCAGTGAAGATTAACAATAAAGAAATTCCGGCAAACTCACGCAAAAGATATTTTTGTTTCAATAATTCCGTATCCAAACAGAATTCAACGGACGATTCGCGATGCTAATTTTATAATAAATCGCGTCAAAGAACACGAGGGATATATTTATTTAAGAATTATGAAGAATATGATTAATAGTAAATTTACCCATTTTTTTTTTTTGATGAGGATGCATTTGCTGCTTGGAAATTTCGGTCACAATTCACGATGTCGATGCACCGACTTCGCATAATGTTAAGTAGATACCGTTACGATTAAAATATTCTCTGCCGATTTTTATACTTAGCAACATAAGATGAATAAAATCATACGCTTTCGCAAGGACGCGTAATCTTTTCCGTTCAAAATAAGACTTCCTTTATCTCAGGCGCTTTGCTTCAATAATGTGCCGGAGTTGCTGGTAGGTAATACTCGAGAAACGCGTGGAGCGCTAAGGGTTAACTCTTATTTTACACAATTGCCGAGCACAATTTTGATTTCGCGCAAAGATCCGCAGTTCAACGACAACGTTGCCGAGGGTTGGTCAACTTACCCCGACGTTGGTAGGTGGAGGTGGCGGCGGTTGATGTTGTGGGACATGGTTGTTGTTCGTGGCGGGCGTCAACGATCCATAGTACTCGTTCAGAGGGTCTATGTCCGCCACCGAACCGATCTTCCTGGTTGGTGGATTCGTCACTAGAACGATTTTCCTCGTCATTAAGAGATCACAGAGACATTCGTATCACGCTAACATCGTCCTCCGAAACCAGAAGAACCGACAGTGAAACCAAACGAGAATCGCTGTAATCCCGGATTTTGTGCAGCGGAAAAGTGGGCGAACAGACACGGTGAGTGCGGGACAAACGAAAGAAACAACGAAGGGCAGTTTAACACGAAAACAAATATACAATAAATTCTCCCAGACTGTCCCCACAGTTTAGAAAGAAAAATGGACAATTTGGAAAGCGGAGATTCGATTATACAGGGTGTCCCAAAAATGTCTCGCAATCCAGAAATGGCGGGTTCCTCAGATCATTTGAAGCAACTTCTTCCTTTACAAAAATTTTCTCCGAGGCACCGTTAACGAGTTATTAACGAAAAACAGTGACCAATGAGAGGCGAGATCAGCTGCCGCGAGGTGGTAGAGCCAACGACGCCAGCGGTCGAGCGGTCGAATTGCAGCTCAGCTGGCGCGAGGCGGCCGAGTCAACGGCGCCAGCGGTCGAGGCGGTGCGCGAGGCCGAGCGGCTTCGTGCGCTGGTTGGCTGGACCGCCTCGCGTCAACCGTACTCGATTCTAATTGGTCACTGTTTTTCGTTAATAACTCGTTAACGGTGCCTCGGAGAAAATTTTTGTAAAGAAAAAAGTTGCTTCAAATGATCTGAGGAATTCGCCACTTTCGGATTGCGAGACATTTTTGGGACACCTTATATATATTATAATTATATCTCCTCTTCCCGAATTGTTCTTTTTTGTGTACAGTCTGAGCGTCAATTAGGGAGAATTCACTGTATACAGAGATGTATAGTAAATTCTCCCTAATTTACGCTCTGCTTGGAAACAAAAATGGACAATTTGTAAAGAAGAAATACGATTATTCGAACCTCGCGACTCGTTTCTATAGTCGCCGATTACCAACAATTATAAAAACGAGCCGTGAGGCTCGAATAATCGTGTCTGCTCTTCCCAAGACAATTTGGAAGTATTTACTGCACCGTCCGGACCAGCCACCGTTAACCACAACAATTCGCTTGACCGTATTGCCCCACACAGGAATGGTAGACAAACCCGTCGATTGCAACGAAGTGAAATGAAAATGAAACAGAGTGCACATTTGTGTATTAGAAACGCAACATCCAATGAGCAGCGCTCGACCCGGTGCATTGTACGCGATAGAAGGTAATAATTGACGTTACAATAGGAGCGGCCCAAACCGTGTCCACCTATTCGAGCTAATCCAATTAAAAGCCGATCTATTGAAACTAACTGCTGCCGGTTGCGCAACAAATGGCCAACCCATATGGTCACTCGTACACGAAATAAGGGCAGCAATGGTATTACACCGGGATCGCTCGACTATTGTTTCACTCTGCGCATGGTGCTCCATTTACCGCGATAAACACGTCCTAGTAAATATCGCGCGATCGGTAATCTAGATGTCTGTAATACAATTTATTATACAGGGTGTCCCAAAATTATGGTATTTCCGAGAAACGAGGGATTCCTGAGATGATTCGAAGCAACTTTTTCCTTTACAAAAATTTTCCCCGAGGCATTGTTAACGAATTATTCGTGTAAAACGCTGACCAATGAGGGGCGAGTTCCTCGACGGAGCTCCGACCGAGCTCCGTGCGCTCGTTGGCTCGGCCGCTGCGCGCCGACCAAGCTCGCCTCTGATTGGTCACTGTTTTTCGTTAATAACTCGTAAACGAAGCCGCGGATTGCAATTTCGCTAAGGAAAAAGTTACTTCGAATAACCTCAGGAACCTCTCATTTCTCGGAAGTACCATAATTTCGAGACACCCTGTATAATTCATCGTCGATATCAATCTTATTATTCTTTTAACCCTTTGCACTCGAAGTCATTTCAACTGTAAATCTAAACTAATATTTTTGACTTATATAGTATCTCCATTTTACATGACAAAGTGCATTTTATACATATTAAATTTAGTCTTGTGACTCATACAACAGTTAGACTTTCAACAATTTTTTATATCTAAACTTTGATAATATAAAAATGATCTTGGAACGTGATGTAACAATTTTAGTGGTGCCTCAGAGTCACCACTCGAGTGCGAAGGGTTAATATTTATGTCAATTCTAATCGCCAGATTATTAATCGAACGAATGTCTAATTATTTAAAATTAATTCATTAATTTCATATGAAGTAAACAAATTTGTCATTTTCACGTTTTCTTGGGACTGGTCTCTTCTCAATTTCGAAGAAACATAGACATCATATAAGACTCGAAAAAGCTCGAGATACGTTTTCTTTCTTTTTTTAAACATAAGAAGTAGCTCCGAGAATGGAGAAAGGCTGTTGGTTCCGACAGTGTGAGAGCGAATCCTAGGACTCGTAGGTTTTCTACTTGGGCGTCGCCTCGAAGTCGTAGGTCGTAGACCATCTGTCCGGCGAGAATCGGCAAGAACTCACCTGGTCCCTTGTCGCTCGTATAGATCACAGTGGTGGCCGCTTGTCTGGCGGAATAAGGACTGGGTCTGGCCTCGCTAAGGGGATCGTAATCGGCGATCCTACCTGGTGTCCTCTGCACCGGCGAGCCCGCGCTTCTCGCCGCCGGAGGATTCGCGTTCACGCCCGATGTAGGCGCGATCGTACCGTCCGTGTACTCTACGTACTCTAGATCCAACAAATCACAAGCTGCCGATAGATCTCGACGAACGAGCTACGCCTGGGAACTAGACGGGCTATCTCGGGATCGCCAGGATCCGCGCGGAGATAGCTCTTAGGGTCTAATCAATGTCGATAGAGCGATTATAGGAGGGCAGCTAGTGCCGATATAAGACTGGCTAGAGCAGACATGTCCAAGCGGCAGCTCCTAGGGGCCAATGTGGGCGTGGCCTGGCGCGGCCACGAGCCACGCCACGCCCCTCGAGAGACGGAAAAGCGTGACGGAGACGATGTTTGAACGATTCGCTGTTGCAAATATCGTCGACGGGCGGGTTTCAAGAACTCGGGAACATTTTTTGGAACGTTTCATCTCGAAGCGACGCGGTTTTCAGTTTATATTATTATTATTTATAGGCTGCGCTTGGACATGTCTAGCTCCCAACGAGCTAGAGTATCGGAAAGACCGAAGAAGAATAGGTTTCTAAGTAGGTATTAGCGTGAAAAAGGCTTTTAGGAGTAGATAGATCGATCTGTGTTAGTTGATAGCGCTCTACGATTGCATTGTTGCAGCTGTTTACTCCGGATACGGCGATAAGATCGTGGAATCGTGGACTAGTACTAGCCGATAACTGAGCAATGCTTCGAGGTATTCGCCTCTCAAGGTTCAACCATCTTCGAATAGAGAGATTCGTCTGCTACGAAACAGAGCGGGAAAGATAGACCTTGAGCAGCGAATCTTTGTTTTTTTGTTTTTTTTTACCCTAGCGGAGATCTACGGATTCTGTTGACGTCGGATCAGATACTTGTCTGCTCGGAAAATAATAGAGAAAGGGAGAAGTACGTAACGACAGTGATTGCAACCTACTTTCTCGGTGCTAGTATCGAAGATAAAACTCTGTTCGAATTCCTCGCGTGCGAGCGGCCTCGGCAGTCGTTAATTTGCGGGAGAAAAATGCGCGAAGCGCCGCAAAAATCGTGATACAAGGCAGTTTGCTCGCGGATAAAAGTAGGCTCGGTTGTCACGGCCCGTGTGATCCTCGCGTGAAAGTTATTCTTTTTTTGTTTTGTTGTTTTCGAGGGACGGGTCCTCTCGAACACGTAACAAATAATTACACGTACACATAGACAGACGGTTTATGGACTAGCTGACGGACTTGTCGAACAATTGTACCACAATTTTCACCAGAATTTTCACCACACCTGTGCTTGGCGTTAATGATACTGCGGAAGCGTGCGAGACCCGGACCCCTGGACTGCGAACGTTCGATCAAATTGTTGGAAAGCCATCGTTTTGCTTTCATTGGCGCAGCTATTGCAGCAAATTTTTAACTTTTAGAATTGTACTTTCTTGGCTTACTCGTCTTAAAACCATGGACGGCGGGCGCAGGATTCATTTGGACCCAGAGTTATGAAACAATTTTGGTCTCGACAAAGAGGTTTTAATAATGTACAAATGAAAATTAATCCTTTGCATTCGGAGCTATTTTAATCGTAAAGCTAAAATAATTTTTCTGACTTACAGTATTTCCATTTTATATGACAAAGTGCATTTTATAAATATGAAATTGTGTCTTGCGATGACTCGTACAACAATTACATTTTTAACCCTTTGCGGACGAAGCCGCTCGACGGGTATTGCGTCGCTGTGGACGACAGGTATTGGATATAAAATAAAAATGTTATAAGATATAATTATATTATTATAAGATTATAAATATGTGGAAAACTTTGCTGGTTTCTCTAGTAGTGACACAGAAAGACTGACTCGTCAAACTGAAATTCGTTCTGAACCTACGGTTAAACTAATAAATTTATATTAATAATTAACACTATGTCGTCCGCAGATCTTAGATATGATTCTTTTGTTTGACGCCGGTATAATAGCTTGGAAATTTTAGATTTAAAAGAAAATGTCGAAGATGGCGGTAATATAAATTCCTAAAATTAAGATAAGTCATCCAAGAATTTTCGTACTTAATTCTTAGTTAAATAAGTACAATGCTATAGTTAGTTTGCTGCCTTTTAACACCCAAGAAATATAGTTCAAATGTTATTTCAGTTTTTTAAAATGGCACCGAAGTGGTACCACCGGCATACAACAGATAGTTTTTGCATGGCACCAGCGTGGTGCCACCGGACGGCATAGTGTTAATAAATTAATAAAAAAAAAAAAACGGTAAAAAGTCTTGGGCGGCTATTTGCCGACACACGTCCGCAAAGGATTTAGCAATGTTTTAAACGTAAACTTTGTTAATATAAAAATCATCTTGGAACGTGATATAACAATTTTAGTGGTGCCTCAGAGTCACCACACGAGTGCAAAGGGTTAACCGTAAAGATTTGAACGGATCTAGCCGTGGCTACGCCACAAATGCTCGAAAATGTCCGCCGTCCGGTTAACTTTCAGATCGTAGATTTCAGCAGCGATTCGATTAACAGATCGATAATCCTTGTGTCAGGAATTAATGAAACTTCCGTTCCGTTCGAAATATTCTCGAAGTTCGAAAATAGCAAAACCGATTGCAACACGCGACTTCCTAAACAATTTCGTGTTAAGGTACGTCCGCGGAACATGGATCCGGGCGTCGGAAGGATATCAAGCAAGGAAATTCCAAGCTTCTCGGACGGCCTCGAAAGTGGCCGAAGACCGACACAAGGGTTGAAAGGAACCAGTTCGCAGCCAGGGGGCCACGCGAGCTGTTCGACGAAGGAATCGATACGTCGAACAAACGTCTACGGATACGTGTACCATCCAGAGCACGTTCAGCAACACATCGAGAATGTCTCAATGGTCCCGTTCACCCGGACCGTCGGAATGGATGCAAACATTGAAACGACAAAGAGGTGCGTTCACGGCGGAGAGCGCGGATAGAAGGGAGACAGAGAGAGAGAGAGACAGAGACAGAGAGAGAGAGAGAGAGAGAGAGAAACAGATAAAGAGGAAGAGAAAGAGCCGAAGGAAAAGAATGAAAAAGAAAGAGGGGAGGCTTGACTCACCAATTTGTTCGCCATTCTCGCCGGTCATCGTCCTTTTCTGCTCCATGATCGCCTTCTTCTGGAGCTCACCGTGGTACGCGACGTTCGAGATGATCTTGCTGTTCTGCTTGATCCTGAGGGTCTCCGGGTCGTCCGCCACCTGGGTGAACTTACCCTTCGCCTTCTCGAACTCCGCGTGGTACTTCACGTTGCTCTGGATCTTCGTGTTCTCCGCGATACGCTTCAGCTCCGGCGTCTCCGCCATTGTGGTGGCTTTCGCCTTTGGTATGTGCCTGCGAACGGCGACAAAGAAACCGTTAATTGCATAAACAACGCAGAAAACATCCTTGGTGGTGCCGAGAAGCGGTCGTGCGGAAATTCTACGTGAAAAAAAAAGAAAAAAAATAAGACGAAAGTTCGACTTGGCTCGCCGGAAAACGATATTCGAGCGTGTGTCCCGCGCTTCGGTTGATTTTCAATTAAACGCAGGAAGCGTAATCGACTGCGGATCGAAATGAACGAGACTCGTTGGATCGTTAGGAGTATGAAAAGATTGCGGAGCTTCGTTATGCGTATTATATTATTATTATGTTTATTTTATTATATTTTTTTATAGTAATATATTATATTATATTATATTATATTATATTATATTATATTATATTATATTATATTATATTATATTATATTGTATTATATTGTATTATATTGTATTGTATTATATTGTATTATATTGTATTATATTGTGTTATGTTGTGTTATATTATATTGTATTATAATGTATTATATTATATTATTATATATTATTATTATGCGTATTATGCCCATGCAGATACCGGATCACGACTGCAACCCTATGCTCGTCTTTTCAAGTTTAACCAAAATCGAGCAAAGAAGGAAAAAGTATTGCAAATATTATCTTTATTATTATATTTATAATCATTATCTTATGACAAAATATTATCTTTGCACATAAAGTCCTTAACGGATTCCTTGATTCTCCGGTAGATTTAATAGAAAATTTTCATTTAAAATTTGCGAGAACTATTCTTCCGTATTCGGAAGAATTAGATTAGATTAGATTAACATTATTAGTCCATAGAGATTAATCGTATTAATTTAAGGAATTCCGGTTATCTTATTACACTTTACCTCCGTCCGGTATTTTTCTTTCCATTTTGTAATTTTCAAACTGATGGTGAAACATCCCGTATACGTTTCAATAAATAAATAAATAAATTTTATTGCACGGTGTATTTCGACGATCGAATCTCGTCGGATGCGCGTCGGACTGCAACGCATGACTCCTCTCTCGGTCTCCTCCTCGCTCTGCGCTCTCCTCTGCCGGACCGTTATCAGAGCAGCTCGGCAAAGGATGTGCGCGATAGGGAGCCAGCGTCATTGACCGCTTGTCGTTCGTTCGAAACACTTCTTCCCTCCGATTTCCATATTTTTCCTCGCGCAGGAAGTTGCCGCTGAAAATATTTCCTCGATTGCGAGGCGAGCGCGTTCGCCGCGCCCGGCCGATCGTAATCTCGATACGGGGTGCTCTTTCAGCCGTGGATTAGGTTCAACATTATTGCGTCGAAACGCGTCGGTGCGCGAACGGATCGCGGCGGCGCGGCATTCGCGGCGTTGCTAATTGCCTCGAAAAATATATCGCCGGCTCTATTTTCTCGCGTCCAAACAAAAAGGAGTCGCGAAAAGAAAAGCGAACCGACGAACCGCGACGACGAAACCGCTCCGGTTACGCGGCCAATATTCTCGCGAACACAAAAGGTCGACCGTCGAAACTGAATTATCATTCGACCGGATTGACAGATCTGGATCTGCAAACGCGCCGTGAAACCCGGTGAAAGACTCCCTGACAACGGCTCGTTAATCTCCCTTAAGTTTCCAATTACCGGTAGTCGATCGGCGACACATTAAACGCATCGTCATCGCCAATCTCTCTAGCAATTAAATCGCTGAATCGCGAGCGTAATTTGTGCTCTCTCGAAGATTGCTTTTTCCGAGATTGTTCGGAGCTACCTGATTAACCCACTCGTTTCCTCCTAGATGTACAGGCCTGCTCAAAGTTGGAACAACTACCGAGGCGCCGACACCGCGTTTTTCGCACGAGACACGTCGTTCTTTGGGACACCGACTTTTTACGTTTGCTGTCGAATACAGTAATGGACAATTTGGGGAGAAGAGATACGATTATTCGAGCCTTGCGGCTCGTTTTTATAATTGTGGACAGTTTATAACTGTTGAAATTTTAGCCTCGAACAAAAATTAATCTATAGTTTACTTAGTACTAAGATACTAAGATATCGGTTTACATTTTCGCCGGTTCCGTCAGCGGGCAACAACGGTGATGTAATATATAGTATATAGTAGATACCGCGATACATCATCACCGGTACCATTAGATATACATCGTACCCTGACTGTTTGGGGGTCCCAGCGTCACGTATACAATGTGAAACGCATACAAATAAAATATATATACATAACGTATACAAATAAAACGTCTCTGATTGGTGGATAAGACGAACCCAAAAAGGGTATAAAAGAAGCGTTTTTTCTTACCGGACTCTCAGTAGAGTTTGGTCGCTCGATCGTTTTCGCCCATATACCTTCTCTCAATAAAGGAATAAAATAAAGTCCTTTTTAAGAAAAGAATTAGAATCATATAGATGTGTATAAGAGACAGCAGTAGAGTTTGGTCGCTCGATCGTTTTCGCCCATATACCTTCTCTCAATAAAGGAATAAAATAAAGTCCTTTTTAAGAAAAGAATTAGAATCATATTCATTTTCATTCCATAATCCCAACAACTATAAAAATAAATCGCAAGGCTCGAAAAATCGTGTCTCCTCTTCCGAAATTGTTCATTTTTGTAGTCAATCTGGGCGTCAATTAGGAAGACATTACTATACTTTCTAGATACAGTAATGTCTCTCTAATTGACGCTCAGTTTGTCCACAAAAATGGGCAATTTGGGGAGAGGAGACACGATTATTCGAGCCTTGCAGTTCATTTTTATAGTTGTTGACAATCGGTAACCAATTCCGCAGCTATGCGAAAAAAACTGATCCAAGTCGACGTGATTTGGTAAAGCTTGAGGAAAGAAAGCTTACACAAATTTTGCAGAAAATAATCATTGCAAAATTCGTGACGGGGTACAGTAATTTCTCCGTAATTCGCGCTGAAAATGCGCACAAGAATGGACAATTTAGGAAGAGAAGATACGATTATTCGAGCTTTGTACCTAGTTTTTATAATTATTGTCAATCGGCAACTATAAAAATGAGCCACGTGGCTCGAATCATCGTATCTCTTCTTTCCAAATTGTCCATTTTTGTTTCCAAGCTGAGCGTCAATTAGGGAGACTTTACTATACTTGTCTGTATACAGTGAATTCTCCCTAATTGACGCTCCGATTGTACATAAAAAAGAACAATTTAGGAAGAGGAGATACAATTATTCGAGCCTCGCGGCTCGTTTTCATAGTTGTTGGCAATTCTTAACTATAAAACCGACGGCTGCAATAAGTATTATCGTGATTTTAAAGGTGTTAAAAAAAATGAAGGATCCGCGATGTTATGCGGGAGGTATTTATAGACGTAAAAACGTCGTAGAACTTCACTTGCCGTGTTACAGGTGTTTAGCGAGTCCGTAACAACACGTGTATAGTGTGAAATCCTCCTAAAATTCTCGTTCTACCGAGATTTGCAGATTACGAGCAACCGTAAACGCATAGAACTGCTGCGCGCGATTAAAATCAGGCGAAACATTGTTTCAGCAGTTGCTGTACTGAAAGTAATGGTATTATCACTTCCGCCGGTACATCAAATGACTTTTAACACCGGGTGGATGATCCAAAATTGATTGAACACGTGTCATCGAGTCGTAACGTTGCACGAAGGACTTCAAAAATCGATTTCTCGAGAAAAGCGATTATTTCAATTCCAGAAATACAAGACCCATCTGTTTGATCCTTTTTGTCATCATTTTGATTTTCATCGCGTTTTCTTTTTCCCCCTCAATCTCTTTTTTCTTCTTTCCAAGGTTACGCACAGGGCATTTACGTTTATTCCAAGAAAAACGCACAATTCCACAAGTTCTTTACAAAGATCGCTTCGCGGTGTAGAAACAAAATGGCTTTTTCGTCAATCGATGCTCTCGGATTGTGCACGAAAATGCACAATTTGTGAAGAGGTGATGCGATTATTCGAGCCTCGCGGCTCGTTTTTATAATTGTCCAGAATCGGCAACTATAAAAACGAGCCGCGAGACTCGAAATAATCGTATCTCCTCTTCTCAAATTGTCCATTTTCGTTTACAAGCCGAAGAAAAATTGAAGAGAATTTACTATATCCCCTAATTTAAAGTTTTAGGAACTAAGATTGCTAGGAACTTTGGCCAACTTCAAACAAGAAAATATAATTGACAATACATAATGGCCAGAAACGATGCGCTGGCCACGACTGGTGGCATCCACCATAATGAGCAAGCATCGAAATACTTGTGCGTAGTGGTGCACACATCAATGGTTTCATCGCTATCGAACTAATGTAAAGTGTTTTGCTTCTCGTTTTTATAGTTGTTAATAATTCGCAAGTTGAAAAACGAACCGCAAGGCTTGAATAATCGTATCTCCTCTTCCCAAATTGTCCACTTTTGTGAAAAATCTGAGCGTCAATTAGAGAAACATTACTGTACAGCGATGTGTTGCTGCGGTCGCTGGATTATTTAAGGAATTGCTCTGAATGAGAATGCTACAATGAGAAAAAGAAAAAGAGAGCGAGAGCGAGAGCGAAAGAGAGAGAGAGAGAGAGAGAGAGAGAGAGAGAGAGAGATAACACGTCACTCAATAAGTCTCCGGTCTGACACATATATGGCAACACTGTTGACAAACCTATATGATTTCTGGATAGTAGCATCCTTCAAACGATACATGTGAAAATTTCATGACATTTTGATGATTAGTTTACAGATTACAGTGGTTTAGTGACTCCAGTTTTGTAATTTTCAAGACAATGGTTAGAAAAGAATTTCGTGTATCGATTAAACATTATTTTTTGATGGGGAAAAACTGTCGAAGCCAAACAGTGGCTTAATAAGCGCTACGAAGACTCTGCGTCAGAGAAATCAACTATTATCGACTGGTATGCTAAAATTAAACGCGGTCGTGCAAACATCGATGACGCTGAACGCTCTGGTCGCCCAAAATCGGCAGTTGTTCCGGAAAACATAAAAAAGTCCACGAAATAGTTTTGAAAGACCGTTATAGTGAAATTGCGTGA